AAACTTTTACGGATGCCTAATTGAGATCGAGACTTAACTGAATGCTGATTTTGAATTTAGGGGATCGCACGTGGGCAGGAAACATTCTCGTTAAATTTCAGTTTCCATGATTCCCGGGATAATAATTTTCCCATCAAAACTTTCACGGGCACGGGAGGGCTGAATTTAAACTTGCGTGGTTTTATATTAAATATTAATATTTAGGCGTTTTCAGGCGACTTCGTTCGTTGTCTGTGGCATCAAGTGATGCTTTCGCTGGAATATTGGTCGGCATTGCAGAGCATTTGAAAGCAGCTGAGGCTAAAAAGATAATTGCCGGTTCAAGTTTGGGCCTTTTATTTCAAACACATACAATTTCGCTGCCGATGAAATTTGCATCGCTTGGCGCCGTTTCCATCAAATGGGCTCAGGTTATCAAAGTTTGCTTCTCTCAAAAAGATCATATCTTTTGCTAAATTTTATCGGTGCTTCCCCGTAAATTTTAATGCTTTATGCATAGGCGCAAAATGCAGTGGTAAAATGTGGTCATTGAAGGGACTGAAGAAAAGTTGCATTCTCTCTCTCTTTCTCCTGTTTAGTTATTAAGAGCTTTGGTTATATGAGTGGCGTGCAGGATATCATTGCGTCTGTGAAACGGTCCTTGCGTAGAGATGGCACGTTTACATACCAAAGCTATTTATACTAAGACAGTGTGTGATAAAAGGCTTGAAAGCCGCCATCCCCCCTCCTCTCTCTCCTCTCCTGCTGGTTGTCGGTGTATTGACATGAAGAGCTCTAAAGCGATAGTTCGACTATCGATCAATTATGGGATTTGTTTGTTGTGAGAGTGGTAGCTTTTGATGCTGTAATGAGATGAGCGTGTTTCTGTAGTAGGGAATATGGCTTATGCCTCGGATTAGCTTGGGCTTTTCACTTGCACTGGGATTATATCTATGAATGTTCTTGTATGAGTTCACATTCTCTCTTTTAGATCGTTGAACCACCTGAAACGCCGAGCGAACCCATGCGCTTTGTAGTTGGACTACCACTCGGCGTTTCGATGAATATTTTGTTGCATAACTTCAGCAGCGATGACATCTGTCAATTCAGGATACAGGTTGGTGTACAGTTCATGAGTGAAAGTATAAATAGGGCGTTTGCTGACTTGCAATTCAGCAATTTGGAATGTAAGCAACGAAATAAGTGAGTCGTTAGTTGCGTGTCTCAGTTATGATGTGCTTGAATAAGAAGGCTTTTGCAGACGGATTATCCCGATCGAAGCTCGAATCTGTTTCGTCCAAGAGCCGGTGATTTTAAAAAGATTGCACCGCACACTTATCGGCTGCTCTGTAGTGTCTTGGTACAGTCAAACAGTGTTTGGTCTGACTCGGCCCGAGTTCGTTTCGGATGTGTTTTGAAAGCGTGTCAGGTGTCGGACTTGGAAACAGTGCAGCCACCCAGCGATGCTGCCTGCTTACCATGCGTGCCAGTGGTGGAATCGCCATCTTCAATTAAACAAGCAGCCATCGACATTCCAATACATCCTGTACAAGCAAAAATAACCATATAGATAACT